TATATGACGATGTACACGAATTACTTAAATGACCCACTTTCAAACAATTAAAACAAGCTTTGATCTCTCTTACCTTGGCTTGGCGTTGCACGACGGTCATCGCTCGGAAGATCTCGCACTTGAAGTTCGGGTGGGCTCCAGTTCCACACACGTCACAGGACTCCTTTCCGGTGACAGCAAAAGCTTTGGTAGAGATGCTCTTCACTTGATTCTTGCTTGGTACAGATGGCTTCGTAACGGGCGGCTTCACGATCGCATCCTCGCACCGCTCCAGGATTGCGCAGCGCTTCTTTAGGAACTCCATCGTGTCCTTGTACGTGGGAATTTGCTTGTGGGGAACGGTTGATTCCCATTCCATCCGGGTTTTGGCATCCAGAGCTGTTGCCAAGAGGTTGACAACGAAACGCTCCGACATACCATTCATCACTTCCTCCATGAGCTTCAATCCATCGATGTGTCGGGATACTTCGTCGACTAATTCCCGAAGATCCTTGGCACTTGTTCGGTTCATTTTCTTCAGGCTAAGCAGCCCCAGGATGTGTGTGTCTACGATGAGCCGCTTGTTTTCAAAACGTTCTTCCAGCAGCTCCCATGCTCCGGCATAATTATTCTCGTTCAAGGTGCAGACGTCGATGATTCCAGCGGCATTACCAATCAACGCTTTATCAAGGTAGTAAAGTTTGATGGCGTCGGAATCGGTGGATGTTCTCATGACGTCGAGAAACATGGCCTTGAAACGTGGCCAGTTCTCGGGTTTCCCATCGAAGGTGGGAATGGGAGCCTTGAGTGGTCGCTGCTGTACGATGATGCGAGGAATCCCTTCTCGCTGGGACGATGGCATCGGACGAGGTTGCGGCTCGGTCATCGACTGGATTAATGTTTCGACCAACATGCAAGCCTCGTTGTGTTGGTCTTCGAATAGGATGTACGTTTCATCCTGGTCCACTAGTTTGTCGGCGGGAGTCAAAGCGACGATTTGCCGATGAATATCACAATACTCCTGGTAGTGCGTTTCCAAATTGCGTGTGAAGACTTTCAGCTGCACCATACTCAATTGCCTTGCTCCAGCTCCAGATGCTACTTCAACGGCCTTCCGGATCCTCGTCACTTTGGCCTTCGCTTGCCCACGAAGGTGAACAAGAGTCTTCACTTCAGCCATCTTCTCCTTTTCGTTCTTCACAGGTGTGTGTTGAATTGGCATCAAGCACAGCGATCACCTGCACAACGGTAGGCAGGAACGGACAGGAATAAACACGTTCCACCACTTGCACACGACGTAAGACGTTCGCGTACGTTTTGTTTTGCACACGCGACGACGAACAGGTTCGATTTCACTCGCGACTGTACTTTCGAAGAAAATCGCGGTTTTCCTTTTAGCCAAGCCACAAGAAAATTCTAAAACAAAACTCTGCGAGCTTTTCGTGAGGTAGCAGGAAATCCGATCGGCTGATCACAGCGACGAAAGGCAGGAAGTTTTCGACAATCGTCAGATTGTCGAAACGCTGTTGCGGTTGCAACAGAAACGGATGGGATCACACGGATCCGGTTCGGCAGGACCAAAAATGTCCGATCACGGACACTGGAGATGGTGTGGCAATCCTCGGCTCGGAGGATTCCAGCTGATTTGGCCAATTCCCCCTGTGGGAATGCCAACAGGAACACAACGAAAAGCTCGACTGAAATTCAATTCAACTCATAGCCCTGAAAAGGACTGTTTTGGCTTCGGCTTGTCCAAAGAGGAAAAACGAGAATGAATTAAAACTTTCAACGGCGCTATATTTCGGTGTTTGCTTTACAAAGCTTGTGGACTGTATGATGGCGACGCGCAAAATGCGTTGCTTTAAATATGTTTGGCTTTCTTCTTTTTGATGTTGTATTCATTGATTTCTCCTTCATTCATAACCAATCAGCACTCGCTGCACGCTCGTTGGTTTGTGGTCGGTCGGTCGCTCGTCGCTCGGTCGGTGCTGCTGCTTGCATGCTCGTGCCAAGCCAGCGGCAGCGTAAGGAAATGATCAAAGCTTGTTTTCAGGGTCTTGATACAAATTAAACATGTAGCACATTAGGGTTAGTTTCGGAAACCGATTACCCGCGGTCGCCTCGGGGTTAGTAGAGTTTTAAAGGATTGGGTAAGTGGTTAGGGCGATTACACAAAACAACTACTACTACTACTTCTACAACACATTACGTTCGCTTCAATCGCGAACAAACTTTCTTTCCCTTCATATTGTTAGTATTTTCCGATCCGACAGCCACCACTCATAATGTTGAATATCGATTTTCCCTCCCATGATATTTACTTCTTGTAGTATTGCTATGTCCACTTCTGCTTGCTGTAATTCTTCATCTATTTCCTGTCTCTTGCTTGTTTGACAGCATCCTCGTACATTTAAACTCGCAATTTTTATTAGACGTGGTTGTTTTTTTTTAATATTTGTTCTTGTGTATTGGTTTACTTTGTTATATGTTTTCTGATTATGCTTCTGTTCCATTTTTTTTTTCAAAGGTGCGTTATTTTTCTTACTGATTGTGTCTTTTTCTTTGAGGTATATCCCAAAGGGGGGGGGGGGGGGGTTGGGTGTAAAATTTACGTTTATTTTCTAGATTTTTATGTTTCAACATTTGATTTAACATTTCAATTGGTTAGCCTTTGGCTCTTCATCTTTGTTCTAGTTAATTGGTTATTCTAATGTGATGATTGCGTTTAGCGCTAATTTACAGGATACCCTTTGTGGGATTGTTTTGGTTTGAATTTAAAAATTTGATAACCTACCTACTTGAGCACCTAGCTCCTTAAACTAGGTTGCCAAATCACGAATGATCTGGTGGTTTGATCGCAGACAGGCGACTCTGAACCTTTCCAGCGTGGAAGTCTTTCGCTCCTCGAGTGTTTGAAGACCGGCCAGGTGGTGAACCTCAGAATTACGAGTTCGCGGTGGACTGTTAAGGATCATTTTGAGGATCTTGTTTTGGATCCTCTGAAGCTTTAAGTGGATCCACAACTCTCCCAGATTGGCATACCATACTCAATAGCCGGCAGAATGATTTGCTTGTGGACAGCAAGCTTGTTTTTGAGGGACAGGGTGGACTTCCTGTTTATCAGAGGGTAGAGCGACCTGATCAAGATGTTACACTTGGTGGATGTCTTGTCCACATGGGATCGGAATAGCAATTTGCTATCGAAGGTGAGACCAAGGTAGATTACTTCACTCGACCATTCAATGGGAGTGCTATCAAGATGGATCTTGACGTTAGCAGGCGGAACAAGCCGAGTTGGTTGGAAATGCTAACATGAAGCTTTAGTGTGATGATTTATTAGCTAGAGAATGATCTTTAGAAGAGTTGAAAATGAGCGAATTGAATAGAAGTTGAAAATGAGCGAAGGGCCATTAAAGCGACAGTTTTTCAAGATAGACGCACATTTTTGCCTAGCCCGTACGATGTACGCGGGGACTTGAAGTATGTCTCCAAGTCCACAGGCCGAGGTGAATTCGAGTGTGGAAACAGAATGGTTTGTGTTTTAGCTGCATGGAAACAAATCTTTCAGCTCTTGAAATAGTCGGACAGAACATCCAGGCCTGATTGTAGTTTACTCGCCAGAGCACGGATCACTCGACCCTTATAGATGATGGAGGTGTCATCTGCGAACATTGACAGGATACCACCACCCGGCAGGGGAGGAACGTCTGACGTGAAAATGTTGAATAGGATAGGCCCAAGCAGGCTACCCTGAGGGACCCCTGCATCAACGTTGAACGTATCAGAGGGGACATTGTTCAAGTAGACCTGGAATGATCTGTCCGACAAGTAGTTTTTGATGATCTTCACGAGGTAGATCGGAAAGTTGTATCGATGTAGCTTGTACACTAGGCCATCATGCCAGACATTGTCGAACGCCTTCTCGACGTCCAACAATGCCATGGCAGATGTATTGGAAACGGACTTTTTCCGCTTGATGATGTTAGTAACCCGTGCGAGTTGGTGGATGGTAGAGTGGCCTTTCCTAAACCCGAATTGCTCTTTGAGAAAGATGTTATTACAACACCAGCAGACGGCTGAGTATCAATTTTTCGAATAGCTTCGAGATGGAGGACAAGAGGCTGATGGGGCGATAGCTTTTGGCACTGGTAGGATCTTTGCCAGGCTTGTGTATTGGAATCACATTGGCTAACTTCCAGCATGCAGGGAAGTAGCCAAGCTCCAAACATTTGTTGAATATAACGGTAAGATGGTTGAAGAAGTCAATACTCAAGTTTTTCAACTCGAGGTTGACTACACCATCCATACCCGCAGCCTTCATGTTTTTAGTACTTCTAATAGCTGCTATCACCTCATCAGCCGATATTCTACTATGATCATGCACTACTACGGGGGTGTCAGCGACTCTAGTCATTGCCTCCAGTACGGCAGGCCCATGGTTTGACCAAGATTATGTGAAATTACAAAATGTTGGCCAAGAGCATTGGCCTTTTCAACTGGGGTTATGAGTAGGGATGGGTCTAAGTTCTGGTCTACAGAGGAAAGCGGAGGGATCGGTCTCGACTTATTTTTCAAAATTTTGTTCATCTTCCAAAATGGTTTTGCACAATCTGGGAAAGAGCGAATCTTGTTGATAAAGTCGTTATTTCTGGATAATTTTGGTTAGCCTATTGACATTGGTCTTCAAGTGGGGCAGCCCAGAACGCTGGAACTGCCTACGAATGGTGTTACGGTGCCTGATAAGATCTTTGGTTGGGCTGTCAAGGTTCAGAGTATGACTTACCTGTCTGGATGCGGGTACGTGTTGCTCCCTGGCACGGGATATCGCCTCTTCGATGGCTTGCAGACACTGATCGACTTCTTCGTACGACTCCGGTAGGACGTCGTAATCGATTGCTGTGTCCACACAGCGCTGATACTGCTGCCAGTTGACACGATGGTAATATTCACCTATTGGCCAAGGAACCTACTGCGGCCACCACCAGATAGTGGTCCGAGCTCAGTTCCTGATAAGCGATAGGTTAGGAGATGTTATCGCCAATGTTGCTGATGAAGATGTCGATGGTGGCATGAGCTCCGGATCGACTCAACCGGGTGGGAGTGTCCGGACACAGAATGTTGTAGTGGGCTTGCTGCAGATCCTTGTATAATATTGTGCCGTTCTGATTTCGCCGACTATTGCCCCAGGCTTGATGCTTGGCTTTCAGGTCGCCAGCGATGACGAAATGTTGCCGCCGTCGTGTAAGCTTGATGATATCTCTTCGGAGGTCTGCGGCCGAGCCGTCCCTAATGTTGGTTTGCTTAGGGCAGTAGACCGCGATGATGGTGATTGGACCAAGCGATGTGCTCACCTCAACTCCGATGGCTTCGATAATTTTCAGCTGGAAGTTTGGTAGTAGCCGGCAGCTGATGTTCCGTCTCGCAGCGGTGGCCACTCCCCCTCCCACGGAGCTGGTGCGGTCAAGCCTTACGAGCCGTAAGTCGGGAAGGAAGACGTTCAGCTCGGGCTTCAAGTGAGTCTCGGTGATGACGGCTATGTCGATGTGCCGTTCGTTGAGAAAGTCAACAAACTCGATGTTTTTGCTCTTCAAGGAGCAAGCATTCCAATTTACGATCTTGATGGCTTCACGGTCCATACTTAGTGACAAGGGACAGGGCAGCATGTAGCTGTTCAGATCGAGTCTTGCAGGTGCGCATGATGATGATGACCTCGGCCACGAGCGTCACAAGTTCCTCCGAGGTGAACGGAGAATCGTCGACAGATTCACCTGAGACAGCACCAGCGTATGATAAACCAGGGGCAGTGGATTAACCTGGAATTGGCTGGGCCGCAGCAGCAGCGAGACGATGCTGAACTGTCCGACTGTTGGAAATCATTTGGATACTCGCAGGATTGGCTTGTTGGTTGTTGAGCGGAAGCGGGGCTAGGTTCGGAACATGTCGACGGGGCTGGAGAGCTGGGTACTGGACAGGAGGCGACCGAGCTGGTTGTTGATTGTAGCCTTCCGACGGATATTAATGAACTCCACTCGCTTGGGACATCCGCGATTGGAGGCTTGGTGGTTTCCACCGCAGTTGACACACGTTGGCTCGATGTCATCAACTTGCTCACAGGACGCAGTTGAGTGAGTTCCAGCACACTTGCCGCAGTTTGTCTTCATATGGCAGTTTTTGGTGCCATGGCCATAGGAGAGGCAGTTCATACACTGCGTAACATCACGATGTTGGGGTTTGTAATGCTCCCAACTGATGATGACCTGAAACAGGTCCCGGATTTTGGATCTCAGAGCCGCAAGACTGGTGGATCCCTTCGTGAAGTGCACCAGAAACAACTGGTCACGGAAGCTGGTATTTTTGATGGAACGCCGGTTCATCTGGAACACGGCCTCGGCTTGGGGTATATCTTCTCTACGCTGTCTATTTGTATGTTGTTCATAATCTTTGTCTCCACCAGTTCTATCCTTTCTTCTCCTGTTTGATTCTGTCCTGTTTTGAAATTTTTAACATCATCCTTTTCCTGGTATATCTTTATATCCATGCCTGTTATATAGGCTATTTCGTTCCTAATTTCCTCATTTGGAAGGATTCCCTACGAGGAAGGATTCCTTATTTGGAAGGATTCCCTACGCAGTGCCCCGTAACGTGGGTAGATCACCTTTTCGTGGCACGTTACGGGATGTAAGATCTACCACCGATTTCTAGTCTTGACTATTTCAAACACATCTTAGTCCTTGTTACTCTTTATGCCTTGTTGATAGTGACAAGACTCGGCTTTGTCCACCGAGGATGATCTTGAAACAAGGAAAAAATAAGTTAGTTAGTCTTTATCTATGTGATTTCTAATCTTCTATTCGTTGTTCCCTAGTTTGAAGTGGTTAAGACTAGGGTTCTTATGCATGGTCATTTTGTTGCTAAGGAATCCAATTTTGACTGACAAAGGGGCGCGCCTTTGGAGGGTGTTCCAACACTCCGAAGGGTATAAATAGCGGGACCTTTCAATTAGAATCGGATCCTTGCGATGAAGGCAAGAATGACAACTGTATCAAAACCAAATAGTTCATCATTTCTCAATAGTGATGAAGTAATACGACATGCACTAAACTAAGGACACGGAATATACTATAATAGATCAAATTACTGGTCACAGTAGTTTTATGTCCCGAACAGAGGAGAAAAAATGCGCAATGCTACCCGGGTAGAATATTTACTATTGATATCTAAAGTTGATATGGATTTACATTGCATAAGAGATAAAATATCAAGAAATAATACCAAAAAAAATAGCATGCCGAATACCATTTTAAAAACAAATCCTGATATTCGTATATCAAACAAATACCTTTAGTATTTTTTTATTAATTTGATACCGTAATTTCTTAACTTGCTATTGAAACGATATTTCAGGAATAAATTCCAGATATTATTTCTTGTGTTTACCTCTTATACCGTGCTAATGCATATCATTTTTTGATATCAAGATCATAATTTTGTATGACTGAGATATTTGCATAGACGCATGGATTCTGGAAATGCTGCCAGTTTTTTTGATATGATGTTTTCGATCTAACGAATATTACCTCCAAGCATTTCCCGAAGCCGATATCTCAGTGGCAAAAAAAAACAAATTAATGCAGAAGGAGCTTGCTTTTCGAACTCAACGAACCCATCCTGCAAGAGGGAAAAATCGGAAAACAAATATGAAAATCCCGTAAAATCAGAATCGAGTGTATTGGACACGAAGTTTTAGGATTATCTTTCGTTGGAAATGAGATATACACAAACAAATTGAAAGTATTTTCAAAGAGAAGACAAATTGTTAAAAACTGACGAAAAACACGCAAACTATGTTCTGGTAGACGAACAAAAAACAACAAATTGGTAGTTCCCACTCGCTTAAATAAACTATGATTTTCGCGATTCACTGGAACGATGGTCTCTTTTACGCAACGTGAGGCTCCTCTCAAGAGAGAGGAAATAATGGCACAGCAGCCCAGACAGCCCAGTGGGCCAACTGCACAGCGGCAACCGGTCCCGTCCTCTGTTCGTTCAGCAGTTTGTTAAGTTCAGCAGCGACATCGTCGATGACGAGACGACCGACGGCGACCAGCCAGCTATGACGACGCAAAGGCAAACAAATTTGTTTTGCTTCATTTGAAAATCGCTGAGACAATGCGATCATCGTGATATGTACACATCTTTTGCCGTACCGTCGAGGGCGAACACTGTGCGGCACATGTGTCGGTGCGGATCTATCATTCTGGACGCTTTTTTTTTAAGGAACTATGTTTCTTTTGAGTGAGTCAATTTTTGAATGATTTAAAGGAAATTCTTATGAATATTCTAAATAAAACTTGTGAAGTTTGACTGCCTGTTTATTAAAAATCGGAATAATTCTAAGATTTAAACTTATTGGAATTACTGGATATAAAAAAAATAATATCTTTAACATGTATTGACTTCTGAATATGCCGCACATAGAGCTTTCTAGAGCTATAACATTCAAAGTGTTTTTATGTTACTTCATACGCGAAGTTTGCGATTTTCAGAGTTGGTTGGAAAGGCTAACATGAAGCTTTAGTGTGATAATTTATTAGCTAGACAATGATCTTTAGATCTTTAGTTCCGTTAGAGTACGGCAGTATGGAAATTGAATAGAAGTTGAAAATGAGCGTAGGGCCATTAATGCGACAGTACAAAGTCGAAGGCACACCTTTTGTCTAACCCGTACGATGTACGCAGAGATTTGAAGTATGTCTTCAAATCTACAGGCAAAAGATGTGCGTCCGCCTTTGCTCATTACTGACTGCGGCTGTGGAATAGTTCTAACGACGTTTTCATCACTACCTAAAGCCCCACGTTGCGAGAGCATTTCCAGTCGATGGTGTGTTATTTTGCAATTCTTCTTTACCCAACTATTGTGTTGCTCTTCTCGTGCGTGCTGTACGGAACTTTCCACCTACCCTCTTCTAAAGATCATTCCCTAGCTAATAAATTATCATACTAAAGCTTCATGTTAGCATTTCCAACCAACTCTAGAGCTATTAGTTTTTCTCGCAGGTGTCACCCCTCGCCCCTACCACGTTACACCCCTGGTATCATTGGGGTATCACAATATAGGGATTTTTTTTTTGATTAAGGGTCCTGTGCACCACCAGCGGTGCAAAGGGCCAACGTGAAAGACTTCCATCCTGGGCGGCTGCTCGCTTTTGCCTTGACCTGGGCCCAGGTCAGATTCCTATCGACTTGCTTAATTTCCTTATTGAGGCTCCGCCGCCATGAGCCCCTGGGTCTGCCTCTGCTGTGATGTCCTGCCGGATTCCAATCCAGCGCTTACTTGCAGATTTCGTTTCCGCCCCGTCGAAGTGTGTGGCCGACCCACCTCCACTTTCGCTCTCGAATTTCTGTTGCTATCGGCTTCTGATGACATCGACGATGGAGCTCGGCATTCGGGATCCAGTTGTGAGGCCACCAGGCACGAATTATATACCGCAGGCATCGGTTGATGAAGACCTGCAGCTTTTGAGTGTTCTCCGCTGATACACACCACGTCTCGCTGGCGTATAACAACACAGATTTCACGTTCGAGTTGAAAATTCGGATTTTGGTGCGATGACTTATCGGGTTGGATCTCCATACGTTTCGTAAACTCGCAAAGGCAGCCCTAGCCTTCTTGATTCGTGCACCTATGTCGCTTTTGGTCCCGCCGTCCGACGCTATTTGGCTGCCAAGATATTGGAAACTTTCGACCTTCTCCACTGCTTGCCCCGCTACCGTAAAGTTGGAAGGGTTGCCCGTGTTGATATCCAACGATTTGGTCTTGTTGACGTTGATGGTGAGACCCGCCGGAGAGGAGCGTTCGGCTAGGTCATTGAGCTTACTCTGCATATCAGAGCGTCGTTGTGCTAGTAGAGCAACATCATCAGCCAAATCGAAATCGTTGAGATGCTCTATGGTGATAGGCTGCCAAAGCAGCCCACGGTTCGGTACACGGTCAATTGCACCTACGTCGACTACGATGAGAAACAGTAGCGGTGACAGTATACATCCTTGTCTCACACCAGCGACTACCCGGATAGGGTCGGACAAGGCTCCGTTATGCAGAACTCTGTACGTGAAAGCCTCATACTGCGCTTCAATGAGGTTGACGATTTTATCCGGGACTCCCTTGCGTCTCAGGGCGCCCCACAGATTCTCGTGATTGAGACGGTCGAAAGCTTTTTCGTAATCAATGAATACCAAATAAAGGGACTCTTGGAATTCATTGACCTGCTCCAGGATGATGCGGA